ATGGAAGGAGAAAACTAATCCACCCAGTAAGCTATTTAATAAATTCCTAAGCTCTTCAAGGACTTTACTAATGCCCAGAAGACCTGTAGTAATGCCCAGAAAGGTCCAAGAGAATGAGCTGGGTGGACCTCCAAAGAAGGGGAACCTACCATGGAATTTCACAGAAAGGATAACCTACAAGAGTCTGCCCCTGCTGCCAACTCTATGATTCTACAAAATGTTTACTATAGTTATCCATCACAAAACACAAAAGATGTACTGAACAGGGCATGTGTATGGACAACCAACAAAGCACTTCTTCCATCACTTCTTGCTTGAAGATTGCCTGGGTTCCTGCAATGGGCCACTGCTTCAGAGAGGGTCTGTGAAGTGTGCCTTTTGGCCAACTGGTTAAAAAAGGTGGACTGGCATGAAGCACACACCCCGGTCAGTTTACAGTTAACTCAAGCAACTTCAGCAGCTTGAAGAATATGAGCCAGAGTGTAGCCCATTTGGCTAACTGCATAAAAATGAATGAGAGACAAGAAATCCCAAATGAAATAAGAATGGCTCCAGTATGTTCAGCAGAGATTGCGAGAATGTACAGGCCCAAAAGATAGGGCCATTTTTGTTTTTGGGAACCAATATTCTCCAGGAGCTGGGTTCACACCAATTCCTCTACTTCTGGGTCTAATTGATTTCCCAGTGAAGAATTAGTTACTATCTTGGAGGAACATGTGTGGTTTGTGGGGGTGGGGGGTATGATGCCAGAATGCCAGCTGTGGAGGAAAGAGTTGCAAAGGTTTTGATAGGAAATCACCAATGGAGAAGCTTCCAATATTATAAAGGAATTTGGGGAGTTACTGCTTTGAAGGAGAAACAGCTTGGGTGAGAACGCGGAGAGTTTAGTAGGCTAAGCACCTGCGTGTGGGTATTCCCTAACCTCCTCGTTCTCAGCTTATATCAACAGATGTTTAAATAACAGTCCTTTCTGCTTAAAGCTCTTTTAGACCACAAAAATGCTAATGCCAAACAAAATGGCCTTATTGACTTCTCTCACTTCTACTGTTCCGTGATTTTATAAAAATGGACTGTGGATTCGTTCTACCTAAAAAAATATTATGTTGGACTTGGGGCCCTGGAAAACATTCACAGTTCCTTGGTGCTTTCTATCTTCTTTGTGGTGTGCTCTAGTAATAGAAGAACAGGTTTCTTTATTAGCTTTCTGTGGAAGTAATCACTGATCTGCCTTACAACCAGTCTGCCTGCCGCTTGCAAACAGTCCATCAATGAGAAGAAGCAGAGCATTTTGTAAAGGCGCACAGCATCCATTTGCTTGTTGGGGTTATCCTGGGCAGAGGAAAAGGACACATCAGTATCCCACATCAGAGGTTAACCTCAATGAGACAGCATATTGTGAGGTCTTGTTCACAGTTTGCCACAAAACAAGAGTTGAAAGATTCTCTGAAGCCTTTTAAGGCATGCATAACAAGAGCAGGCTGGTCCGTCTGGTTCAGCTTAATGACCTCACAGTGCTCAGCCAGGGCCTAGGGCAAGTCTACAACAGGACAAGGACTTCCACTCATGTTCCCCAGCACTGATATACAAAGCCTTCTGATTCTGGAAGTAGCAGCAGGGCAAGAGGCCATGGTCTGACTTGTCCTCCATGAATTTGTCTAATATGTCCAAGTTGATGGCCATCACTGCATCTTGTGGTAGCAAATTCCATAGCTGATGCAGTGTGAAGAAATGCTTCCTTTTGTTTGTTGCAAATGTCCCACCATCCAGTTTCATGGGATAATCCTAGTTTCTAGTATTCTCCACACCATAAATAATTTTGTACATCTCTGTCAAGTCCATCCAAAATGTCACCTTTTATCCTAAGCTAAAAAATCCCAAACATGGTGACCTTTTCTCACAGCTGGGTTGCTCCAGCCCCTTGATCATTTTGATTGCCATTTCTGCATCTTTTCTAGCTCTGTAATATAATTTTCAAGGTTCAATGACTGGAATTATATACACTGCATTGTTTTGGTACTTGCACCATAGCCATGGTATTACGGTTTGGGCAGTTTTATTTTCTGTCCCTTTCCTAATGATGCCCAGCAAAGAACATGGTTCTTTCACAGGAAGATATTGTAGCCCCAGAATAAGTTACAAGGGCTGTCTCCTCTTTTACTCAGGCAAAGAACTCCTAGATAGTTTCTAAAGTCTTCACTGTCTTGGCAGTGAAATGGGACACACGTGACACTTCTTATGAAATTTTCATTAACTATATCAAGACAGAATTTTAAGTCTTTCTTTACCAAACTCCTGAACATTAAACTTTGTCTCCTTTTTCCATGGCAGAGGTTGATGTTTTCCAGTCAAGAATAGTGTAGATTGATGAGCGCAACAGAACCAGTGACTAATGGCTGGAATCCTCCATGTCTGCGAAAATTAAGTTAATTACACAAAGCAGCCTGCTTTCAGGTTTCCAGCCTCTCCAAAGTTGCTCCTGAATTGTGGCAAGCTGTCCTTAGAGGTACTGTCCAGTGCCAATAGCTCATGAATCTCTGTTCCAGTGGTAAGAAAAATAAATGTAATTTTGTACCGGGTAAAAATCAACAGTAGTTCTATAATTGGCTTTGATGGAACCAGTTTCATTTCATCATGTCTTCTTTCTCAAGGATCCTGCATGCTTCTCTCTGCAATGAACAGGAGAAAAAGGAACCTGTTTTGCTGCCAGGACAATAGTGGCCTTGCCAGGTAAATGAAAGTCATCCAGAAAGAAGCTGTGTAAGACTGCTCATCACCATTTTTCATTGGTTGGTTAGATAAGCAAAGGCAGAGCTACTAGTGGAGACAGCAACAAAGAAATGCAGTCTTACGTTTTCCTTCCTCTCCGGCCACCCCACTGGCCATTTGTCAGATTGGTCCAGGCTGTGGAACAGAGTAACAGTTCATGCTTTATCCTGCCTCCTTTTCCAGGGGAAGCTCTCAAGCACTGACACATTTCTGCTTCAAGCTCTTGCCAAAGTTTTGTCAGGACCCTGAACCAACTGGAATCCATCACTGCATGGTCTCATGCACACTGAAGAATACCAGCCTGGCATCCTTATCTTGAAGACTTGAGATGACGATGAGGGTTGCTTTTTTGTGGTTGAGTCAGCCTGCCTGGAACCTAGCACAAGAACCCTGTGGGTTGGGGGATGCTGCCAGAAGACAACCAACTGTGGTTTTGTGGCCAGCATTATGTTGCTACTGGGGAGGGTGTAGCCTGGTCAGAATTAAGTGTATTTCACAAGTCTTCTGTTTTTATTTCAGGCATCTATTATTTGCTAGCAGCCTTAAGAGCTGGCTTTCAGAAAATGTATTTTCAAACCACCAACCTGACATCTACCTGAAAAAACCAGTGGGACTAACACTTCAGTCATCAGCACGTTTATGCTGAAGGCAAGCTGGCACTGATTCATTGAACTCTTTTCCTCTGCAGGCTGGCATGTTTGCTGGCTATCGATCTGCAGCCTCTTAACAGGGGTGTGTGTGAGCATCTCCTTTCCCCCAGTGTCTTTGCAGATGCTTTGCACCTTCTCTGAGAGCTCATGGGGTGGGGGTGGGGGGTGAAGATCCTAAGAGAAACAAAACCTCCGTTCCAGGATCCTTTCTTAGCTAGAGAGTGAGAAAAAGAAAGCTTGCAGCTTGATCCCGGTCAGGTTTCCTTTAAGAAGTAGCCCCACTGATTTTAATGGGACGTTGGCTCCCAAGTAAGTGTCCATATAACTGCTGGCTTAGCTGCCCACCAAGCCTGATCTCCGGCATGCCTGAACACCTGCCGCACAGTCACTTGCGGAGGTTCCCAGGAATGGTTTCCCGAACCGCACACGTCACCAGTTTCCCCGTGATCTGACTTCAGAGCCTTTGCGGTGGCCTCGTGTGTTAGTCGAGGCCTAAAAGCTCCTCTGAGTTCTCTTTCTCCCTCTCCCCACAGCTCCGTTTTTGATCCTCCTCGCTTCAGCTTTTGCAATGGTTGTCCCGGTTTCGAAGAAGGTGGGGGCCTTTAATCCGCCCTTTAACCCTGTGACCTCCTTCCCTTAAGGAGCTTTTCCCCTTCATGTCCCTGCCTTTTGAAAGTCTGCTTTACAAATAAAAGCAATTTCCTTTTGGAACTATAACCAGGACATGAGGAAATGCTTTATAAAACAAAGGATACGCAGAGATCCTTCTCCTCTTTTCTTCGTCGTTGTCTTCTTCTTTTCGCGTTTAGATCTCATAAGCAAAGCTTGTTTGGTTAGACGCTTTACTCAACAGAAGGGGACTCGGAAAACTTTAATTAAAAACAGCAACAACAACAACAAAAGCGGCGGCCCGGGCTGGGCTGGACTGAGAAGGGGAGAGAAAGGGCTGGGGAAGGGGGCTTTCCGCTGGCTAACGGAGTGGAGACACCCCAGACAGACAAGATAAATACTTCCTGAAGAACCTGGAGGCCAAAGATAAAAAGGAATGAACGCATTGCTGGGCAGAGCGAGATGGAGGCACAGGCTGGGTGACACCTAGCAGAGCCTGACGTGCTCCAAAATGGGCGCGCCACCGCACCGTGGAGCGCCTGGCAAGAGGCAACCAAGGCCGTCCGCAGGGTGCGGCCCGAGCCGGCAGAGGCGGCGGGCGCGTGGCCCGAGGAGCGCGGCGCGGCGGGCCCCGTGATCGCCCGCGCCTGTGTCGGCGGGATCGCTTCTGCGCGCCCGGCGGGCGTTTGCCCGGCGGCCGGCCTGGAAAAGCCGCGCTGCTCGCGGCCGGCCTTGCGCGCCCGCTGAACGGGAGGGGCGGCGGCCGACGTCCTGCTGCGCGACCGGAGCGTTCGCACGCCCGTGCAGGTGCGGACGCGTCCCACTGAACCGAGCGCGGCTTGATTCGGAGTAGGCGCCTCAGAACTGCGCTGCTCTGATGTCTAACGTCTGGCTTCACAAGCAACGCATCCCTGAAAGAGCCCGATATCATACAGTCGGCCAGTCGGGCGAGGTGGCCTACAGCCAAGGGGCGGCATGCCGGCGTGCGAAGGGCTGGCGTGCCGCCTTTCAAAGCCGCGGGGCGGGTTACGAAAGGCAGCAAAAGCAACAGTTAGAAAGGGCGTCATCACGCATACGCTCAACTTCGAACCATTAAACTTTAGTCGGGGCGCTCTGGCCAAGGCGTGCGCCCCCGCGCAGAATTTATCTGCGGAGAAAGCGGGCTTAAGCCCGGCCTCCCCGCAGCCGATCCTAAGCAAGACGGTGGCGGGCGGCTCCGGCGCGAGCAAGCGAGCAAGCGGCCTGCCTTCCGCGGGCGCGCGGTTCTGGCTGGCGACGCGGAGGCGGCCAGACGAGGGCCGCCGGCGCAACTCTCCGCGCGGGCGCGCTGCGGCGGCGGGTCGGCAGGTGGCATGCGCGGCCTCTCCCGCGCCCGAGGGGCTCCAGCGGGACGGGACGGGACGGGCCAGGCCGGCCCTTCCGCGCTTTTGCTCCAGCTGGCTAGCTGCGTGGCTTCCGCGGCGGCGGCCGCCGGGCCGGGCAGGGCCGGGCCGGGAAGGGAGCGGCCCGCGGCGGGACCCGCGCGCCTTTACGCGCCAGCCGGGAGCCCCGCCCAGCGGCGGGACCGAGCGCGGCCGCCAGCGCGGGGCAGGATTGCCGCGCCCCGCGGAGCAGGCAGGCAGGCAGGCAGGCAGGGAGGGGCGGCCTGACAGGGGCCTCGGGCTCGGGCTGGTCGTTCAAAGGCGCGGCATGGCGCGGCGCGGGCAGCAAGCCGTGGCCAGCCGCCTCTGCCCTCCGCGCGGATGAATGCGAAAATCTGCCCGAGAGAGGCCGCCCCCGAGAGGGGCGCCAGCCTTTGCATGGAGCTGGGCGTTGAGGTCTCCCCTCCCTCTCTCCTCGGCGTGCGGAGCTGGCGGGGCTTGAATGGGTCCTGCGCTGGGGGCTGCGGAGACGCACCGGGCCAGATCCGGGGAGCGGCCGCGGCTCTGTCCGACCCGTGAGCTGGCCGAAAAGCGCCGCGGTGCGGCCGGCAGCCCCCCCCCCCTCCAAAGGGGGCGCGGGGAAAGTCCTTCTGCCGCGCGCGGGGCCGCGGCAGAATCGCCCGTGACGCGGCGCCATGAATATTGCATTAGATGCCTCTACATATAGGCAAATACCGAGCCCTCCCCCGCCAAACTCCCCCCGCCAATGGCTGCCGCTCTTCGGGAGACAACGCCGCCGCTGCCCGGCCGGTCTCCCCTCCCCTCCCCTCGCCTCGCCTCGCCGCAGCGCCTGCTACCAGTGAAGCCGCTCGCACGTGGGGCGGCTGCTGCCCCCTCCAGCCCAGCCAGCAGCGGATCCGGCGAAGCTGAGGCAGCCGGGCCGGCAAGCCAGGCACGCCCCGAGCCCGAGAGCGGCAACCTTGCTGAGCGCAGCCAGGGCTCTCCCCGCGCCGCGCGATCCGCGTCCCCATTAAGCCCGAATCAATGGGATATGAAACGACTAAAACCCTGCCTGGTTGATTTAGTTGACTTAGGCGTCGCTCCAGAGAAGCCGATCGCGTCTAAAATCTCTTTTTCAAATGCTTCTTCAAAACTGAAAGCCCTGTTTATTTGTCCTGAACTTCATCTCCGTGTTGTTTTTCCAATCGATCTTATATGGCAATTATTCACAAAGCAATACATTGTCTTATTTTATTCGGGGGTAGTGGGGGACGATAGTCCATCAGTTCAACCACTTCCTCATTTAAATCAATTTCATCTTGATTAAATTGGTATAATCTGTCTTAAACAGATTGTGGATCGCAGTTCTCACCCAGCTTTTTTTTAAAGTTATGGACTTTTATCTTGCTTTGAAAAATAAACCGTTCTCCACAATCCTGACTACACGGAAACTTATTCCCAAGGATGCTTAGGGTCATAGCACAACTAAATTATGGCGAGGGTCAAAGCATAATTACTTATTTGCTGTAGCCAAAGTTTAAGGCGCTGAATTCTAAATGAGAAGAGTACAGTGATTTCAAAGATACCAATAATTATTTAAGCTTCAGGAGGACTTATTAGCCGTTTAACTGGCTGCACTTGCTGTATATATAAGGGCAAGAAACATGAGGAAGAATGTCTAGAACAAAACCTGTATACAGATCTAAAAGGCTGCTGTCGCAAACCCCACGAAAGCTCAACTGCGTGCCTACTCAAAAGTAAATGCACCCGCGTCAACGGCGCTTCCTGCGAGGTAAGGGGGGAGCACGGTGGCAGCCGGAGAACCTACCCGAACCCGGAAGCGAAGCCGCGCTTGTAAGGAGCCCTCGCACTGGACGGAGCGTGGTGGCCGCCGCGCAGGGTTTGTGCTCTGGGCAGAAAGGGGGGCTGCCAGAGGATTCCCAGAATTTGAAATAATTCGCTGGGCTGTGGGAAAGGGGCGTTTTGACAAGAAGGCAGATGCGTTAGTTCTTGAGGACCACTGTAATCATTCCTAACAAGACAACTTGTATTCTACAATATCCTGTATGAATTCCTGGTGAAAACAAGTTAACAACGGAAAAGAGGAGAACACCCCACAGAACGCCAGCTAGAGAGATTCACATGGAGGCGCTGGGATCCTAGACACATGCCCTGAAAGGAGAGAGAGGCACCCGGCATCAACGGGCAGCAAAAGGTTTAACGTCAGCTCGATATGTTTCGCCTATGCCGAGCCCGCGGTCACGGGTGGGCCATGGCCAAGCGCAATCGTGTTTAAGATTGCAATCTTCCACGATACTCAGAAAGGTTATTTCCGTAAAACAACTTCATAGTACAATCCCATACATGTCTGCTCAGAAGTAAATCCAACGGAGTTAGATGTTTATACAGGCTTATTTGAGTGTCAGTCGCATTGAAGTCAGACCTGTTTCCAAGTCAACAGCCATAGGATCTGACTGCGCAGTTCCTTGGTGCTGAACAGGATAAAGAAGTGGCTCCATTGAGAAAGGGCAGTGCCGTTCTTTCCAGATGCACCCGTTTAACGCTGGAGGTAGGGGCAGAGGCTGGATTTTGCGAGTTGACTTTCCTTCCCCTTCCACCTCCCCCTCCCCTCAAAAACTAGATCATTTGAGAGCTTTCAGCCCTCGCCTTTGAAACTCGAACCACTGGATCCAAGACAACCAGCACTCAAACACATTTACTCCAGCATTTCGCATGGGGGAGGGACAGCAGCCCTGCATTCCGGGGCTCAGGCTGCCTACAGCCGAGTCCTCCTGTCCCAAACATGCATTTCGCTTCAGGTGTCGCCCTGCAGCCCTCTGAGGTGCCAAAAGGGATGGAAGATTCAGGTATCACGGAATGGCGCCCTATCCTAAATCCAATCAGTGAGATTTTTCTTCACACAGTGCGCTGAGCGGAGGATCGCAATCTATAGAAAAAGCAGCAGGGCTCTTCATAGATTGCAGATTCTCACCAGAGCCTGAGGAATCAAAAAAAGCTGCCACCTTCCAGTACCTTGTGAAATGGGGGATTTTGCCACTTGGTTGTAATCACACTAGTGTACTATGGCCTGAAGTCTCTTCGGTAATTCCAACCTAGTTGGGCTGGATCCAGGTTTACAGTGCAATCCTATGCACGTCTACTCTGCAAGTCCTATTAGAAGGGCCTGATTGCTGCCTCTGTCCTGCTTGCAGCAGGGCATTCAAATCAATGGGACTTACTTATGCTTGTCAGGAATAACTTGTACCCCTGAGTTCAGTGGGTCTCTTCTAAAGCCAGCCCAATCTTTGGGGTTTTCCTTTTAAAATAAGTCCTTTTTGGCTACATTGCCATCTCCAACAGGTTGCCAGAACTTCAGCTGTTTGTCCTCAGAGAATCTCCTGTCACAAATAGACAAACTATGATATTTCACTCTAGTAAGCATTTGAATTTTCCAGTCCAAAATATGACCACGATATTATCTGCAATATATTTGCCTAAAGGAATTGAAACATGCAAAATGCAGAAATGGAACAAAGTCGTGTTTTACTGTCCGATTAGAGTTGCATGGACGCTCCTAGAATTCAGTCTGTCCTTCCAGTCAAACAGCTGGAAAGTAGTGTACTGAAGACCATAAAAGTTGATTATCTAGTGGGGCAGTTGGAACTGAAATCATACTGTTAGAGAGCAAGAACAGCTTCTGTCTCTCAGTAACTACTGAGGTGTAAATCCAAAGGCATTTAAGAGCATTAGCTGCATTTGTGGGAAGACTAGGATGAGATCCCATTTCCCTTTCCAGGTCTCTGCTAATACTCAATCTAGTATAGAATTGCCAGACTTTACCTTCCCAACAGAAGCTGTTGTGTCTATAAGGATTAGTTTTTCTAAATTCTAGCAAAACATCCAAAACTTTATGCAAGACCCTTAAAATGGATAGGCAGAGTGGAGGAAGGATACAGCATAAAGAGCTTGATGGAGACACAAGTTTTGTGCATATATTGCTCCTTCTGTCTGTCTTCAGATAGATAACTAAGAAGTTAAAATAAATCCAAGTTCTGTAAATTAACTCAATTTCTCTTGGGAAAGATGCTTTAAAAGACTGATGAAATAATTATAGCCCATTACATAGACTGAAATTTAAAGAAAGAATAAAATATTTCTTTTATCCTTCCGTTTTTGCTAGTTCGATTGAATCCATAGTTTGCTTTTCTTCCTGTTATTAAAGGTGGTGAGAGAAAAAGTTAACTCTAGGGTTCAACAGCTGGCTTTAGTTACAGTGTTGAGCTAAATAAGCAAACACCATTCTAGCAGTCTTCATGCTTAGGAGAAACTTCATAGTATTGTTTTAAGTTCCTTGGGAAAAGAAAAGTAGAGTCGTTCCATATCTGTATTATGTGTTGCCTCCACGTAGAAAGACAAACGAAACTGAGAACACGTTTCTTTTTCCAAAGAAAATGGAACTCAAATGAAATTATTTTGAATTAGTCTGTCAACCACTTTGTTCCATAGATACATGTGACATTTGAAGCTCTGCATACTATTACGAGTGTTACTTTTGGAGCAATTCTATGATAGCAGTGTAAACTTTAAGATAAACAAATCATCTCAAGTAAATCTCTAGTATGAACAGAAGACAAGAAAAATAATGTAGTGAGGCATCTATATGTAGATGGAAATGTGATAGGCAAACTAAGGAAAAAGGGAAAGGAAGATGAAGTTGAAATAATGGACAGAGGGACAAATTCGTTAGTGGGCGGGAAAGATTTATATCAGAAGATAGGGACAGACAAAAAAAGTCAGAGCAAGAGATCGTAGATTATTTAGCAAAAACCACATTCTTTGTTGTGTATGGACATGGAATTGAGCTTTGGAGTTGTATCCATATTCAAATACAGGCACCCCTCCCCCACACCAGCATTTTTTTCTTCTGCCCCCACTCCTGACACACACACCACGACCACACTCCTCTTCCTTATGCAGAGCCCTTGGTAAGCTCTGGAAGTCTTTCTGCTTCGTCATAAGCAGGTTATGCCTTCGGTCAGCAGGGAATCACACATATGTTTCCTATCGCTTCCAAAACGCATTTTGTACACTCTCCAGGTTAAGGCGAATATGCTGTGATCCGAATCTTCTTCTGCCCCCTCATCATCTAGGTAGTTACAAAGTTACTTTTCTCATTCCAAAGAGAATCTTATCATAAAAGTGAGCATGGCTGACTAATGATAGTATAAAACATTCCCGTGTCCATGTGCAGGGCCAT